TAAAACTATACTTAAACACGTATCACTGTCTGAAAAGACCTGAAATCCCTTATGACACCACCTTTGTCACGCAACTTTTATACATTTCCGACCAAGTAAAACAAGAAATTTAAAGAAAAGAGAACTTAGAAAAATGTAGCCCATGAGGTTTCTTTGTAAGCAGGAGGGTATCAGCATCACAAATGGTGAATAACCATATAAGATTAACAGAGCCAATGGAATCAGTTGCTGGATTCATTGGGTGTCATAACAAGAAGGCCACCCTGTTACCGCTTGTGGTCACCCCCTCCTCCATATGACCCTGGGGCTGAGCCAGGAGCATGTGTGTGTGTATGTGGGCGGGGGACCCTTGTATCTGTCATCACAAAAGGGAGGTCCACCTGAGGGTGGTGAAGCTGAATCATCACCTCTTGGGAACTTGAGGCCGTTTAGTATATTAGGCACTTGGACACCCATTGAAAGAACAGATCGTTAACCTACCCTTTAAGGATCTAACCTTTCTCACATAAGGAAAAATCAGGTGATAGGGAGCCCCCACCATCCACATGTCTCTGTATCCCACTGAAAGGCCTGCACAGAGGTCATTCAAAGGCATTACGGCAGGAAAACTGGAGAAAAAGGTACATTACATGGTGCCTGAAGAGGTTGGCGAGCGGGCCTAATGACTGAGGATCTGCATGTTGCAGAAACAGGATCACTTCATCCACGGACCAGGCTGAAGGGTCCTCAGAGACATAGGGGTCAGGCTCCACTGGTGAAGTTGCAGCTTTAATGTGGAGAAAGAAAGACACATCATACTTGACCTGCTCATTATGCTGTAATAAGAGATATTAGTAGGTAGGGAGCAATGGTCTCATTCCTCGAATCTTCTGCTAAGTACCCCAGAAAGGAGTGAAGAATAAAACTGCAAAATCTAGTGAAGGCCTGTGTGAAGATGCTGTAAGGATGGCTGCACAGGAGCGTCCCATCTGGCCTCCCCCAAACAACAGAAGCAGCTTCAGAAGTAACCTTAGAGTCTCACACGTAACAGGCACTCGATAAATGTTATCATTAAGAATATCACCTAAAATCATCCCTCAAAAGAAAACACACAGCTTCCACTACCGTGCATCAAGGATGTTGATGAATATGGTTCAATAGTGCTATATGTAATGTGTGTCACTGCAAACTCACCACAACCAGAAGGGCCGTAGATAGATGGTACAGTATGTTTCTTCCCCAGGAAGACTGAGAGACTCTTCATTTCATGGGTATATACTGAACTGGACTCTCCCTGGGTCAGCAGGGCTGCAGGTGGTGCCCCGAAAGCTGGGGCATTTGGAAGGATGCTGTTGTTGTTACCTGCCCCTGGGCTGGTACCGGAGGGCAGTAAAGAAGTGCCCGGCAGAGGGTTATCAGGCACGACAGGAGGCTGATATGAATCTGTAGACAAGCGTCGAGGACTCAGGCTGAAGAACATCTCCCGCTCCTTCTGCTCCTGCTCCATGACCAGTGACTCCTGCTCTGTTTCCCGGGATTCCTCCGACTGATTAAATCCCCCTTCGGGGATGCTCTGGTAATCAATCTCCCGCCTCTGCACTGGTGAAGTTGGGCTATAACTTACACGGTAGGACAATGAACTGGGAAACCCCCGCTTCCTCATTGTCTGGAATTCAGTTCTTCTAGTCAGCCAGTATTTATAATGTCTGAAAGCATATCCATATGGCTTCTGAAATGGCACCGACCGACCCTAAATCAACGGTGAGTAAAAAAGAAAATAAAATTAGTACATATAATTTAATATTTATTTTCCATGCAACATTGCTTTGTATTATTAAAAATAAAGGCTCTATTTTGATTATATAATGAAGTTTTATTCCTCTTCCACCCTACATTTTAATTGTTTTTCAGGTATTATAGTTACAACCATTAAAATGGTCACTGTCATGCATTTATCGGACCTAAA